AGTAGTACGTTGTTTTCATTCCATGAAAGTTGACTTCAATTCGGGTCGCGTTTTTCGTGCATAAAACACTAGGCCTACATGCTTTGGTTATAATATTTTTGTATTTTGACGATTTCTCCTGATTTCAAAAGAATTGTGTAACACACGTCACACTAACTTAATATACGAAAATAGCAAGTATTTCTTAATGTTTGCAGATGGTGGCCATTACTTTAAAGTTGCTTCCCCGTGCGCTCAACAAATTCGATGTTCCCCTCCTAAGGAAATTTTAGTGAAATGATAAAAATATTTTTGGACCTGAAAGACTGAAATTGAAAATGACACAAGCTTTAATCAAAATTCCTTAAAGGAACTTTCATCATTTCAAGCAAACTGCTTGACTGCGGAAATAATGGCCTTGTTTCAACTCTCCTCGACACAATTCTTGACCCAAGGGTCTTTTTGTCATCTCCAAGTTATCCCCCTTTTGTTCACAAACATGTTATAATTCCTTCCCCTTGTAAAATTGTGTTTGCCCACGCCAAATCGATGATGACTCGCGTGACCAGGTTCTCCCCGGGGGATTATACCGGGCGTCTCACCATCCCCACCTGCCGTGTCAAGACCTCAAAAGACGGCGCCTGTATCTGGGCAAGTCACGCTGACGATGATGAAGAAAAAAACTCAACCTCAAGCGTCTTTCCGGAGTCATGAGAGATCATTTAGGCCAATTATCCCCACTGTATATACCACTCATTGTGATGTCCCGAACCGACTTCAAAACGACTGGGGAATGCATTGATTCCTTTCTGGACTGATGGGAGTTTATTGATGATTCTTGAGACGGTCGGTCGAGGAGGATAAAGGAAACTTATCCCCGGAGATGGAGTCGACAAGCGCGCGAGACAGGAATTGTTACAAGCAACGGACAATGGTACTAGCAGAGGATTACAAGCTTAAATATTGATCTCCACGAGGACAATAAAAACAAAGACGTTATTAGAGGTCATAACGCCACGCGTATCTTTTGATGGCCTACATAATTGTTACGAGTATAACGACTTGTCTGGTTGGCACTTAAATTTTAACTGTAAAAGAAATTCATTTGTCGAACATATTCGATCATTGTTTTCTTCATCTGTGGAAAGACCTGGCCACATCGAAGTGTATACTCGTTGTATCACACAATCGAAGAAATACTTTAGATTTGTACAAATAATGGTTCCTTAGACATTGTGGTTTTGCCGATAAAAAATTAAATTTCCTCATCGGTTTGTAATACTTTTATTTGCGTTGATTCATTGTTTGTATCTAGTTATTGATTCATTTATTTGTATCTTTCTGGTAGCGAACCCAAGGATTCCTCAAACGTACCCTAGGCACTGTATAGCTCGAAATAAGAAACATGTAAGAAGTAGACAGTGAGAAGAAATTACAGTTTTAGAGGTGGAAGGAAAGCTCCAGAAATATTTTGTGGGAAAAACCCACGGAATCAAGGAGGGACTGAAAAAGCAACCCACATATTGGCCCAGGCAGCATTCGAACCCGGGTCACAGAGTTGGAAGGCGAGGGAAGTACCGCTACGCCAACCTGATGAATACGTCTCCTCAAGGTTTTCACGAAATAGATATGGATTTCACTCAAAAAATTGAAATTTCCAAGGTGTGTTGATTTGTCGCAAATGGAAGGGTTTTAGAAAATGGATATTAAGTCCGAATTTCAGCCAAGGAAATTAATTCTGCGGTGTAAATAAGAGCATTTTGAAACTGTACTTTCAAACTCGAATACTTTAGTACACGAGAACAAACAAATGTCTCCACAAGGATACAAATTTCAGTATGTATCTGTTCTTACACGTCCGCAGAAGGCGAACAGCTGGAATCACAACTTGCCTTGATCAGTTCGATTTTTCGGGACAAATTGTGACCCCGAAATTCGTTCTCGCACGGTTCTCGCGAGAATAACACAAAAACGCCCAGTTTTGAAAAAGATGGTTGTGTGGACGTTTATAACCTAAAGTTTTGAAAGCTCTGTCCATTGAACATTATGTCGTTTAAAACGCGTTTGTAGCCCAATTGGGCGTATTCCATACAGGCCGTAATTTCCTTTAATGGCATATCTGATGAGGACAAACAGTACCGTGAAACCGAGAGAACCCTCGTCGGTCGGCCTCGGCTAAGGGATTACCTGTCGCGCGCTCGGCCGGGGTTGCGCGGTCACACGCCAGTAGGCAGAAAGTTAACAGTCTGGTCATGGGGTCATTACCAGGTTAGTCTTGCGGGAAAACCATGGGAAAAATAGCTCGGCGTGACGGCGTGGTTAACCAAGCGAGTAGCTTACTTGCCGGATCATGTGCAGCCAGTGGTAGCGAAGCGATTGAATTAAGCTCATCGACACACATGACTGTTTAATGGTATTTCCCGTCAGATTTGCAAGGTCTTTTCCATTAATTTTTTTCAGGTAAATTAAGGGGTTTCAGCGCCGTCGCCAGCCCCGAGCATCAGGAGGGGCCATAGTATCAACTAGGGGGGGGGGGGGGGGGGGGGGGGGGCACTATCATAAAAAAATACAAAAATGCATATGTATGGCTTTTGCCGTGGGGGGGGGGGGCAATGTCTCGCCCAAGGGGGGCCCGGCCCCACCAGCCCCCCCCCCTCCCCGGCGACGGGCCCGGATGTTGTCATTGTCTATGCTGAGAACATGCATACCAAATAAAACTCATTTAATTCAAGGTGAGCAATCGGCCATATTTCGCAAAACAAATTACATTGTTTACTTAACGGGCCTAGTTTAAAGGTAACAGTATTTGCAAACATCAAAAAACAAAACTACCATATTAATATGAAATAACTTACTTGACTGTAAGCGAGTAATAGTCTCAAGCATCCTGTGAAATCATGGCACTTAGTGTGCTGTCATTTTCAAGAAAAGTGGCAAATTTTGCATCAGTTTCCAACTATGGTTGGCCGACCATCGTTGGAAATAAACTGACTTTTTTTTCTCAAATACTGCTTCCAATTTTACCAAATTTAGTTAGTCCGCATTTTGTTTGCAATCGGTTACACTTCCGTGAACGGTTGCAAGCCAGATAAGTCTGGTTCCCCGACCTGCCTGACAATTCTCCGACGGATTGCTCCGTTTCATGGAACCAGACTTCAAGAACAGCATTTTTTTCTTGGTTTTTCCAGCATTTGTAAGTTACAACACTTTAAACAAGTCAGTGTATATCTTTGCCCTAAAATACTAAGTCCCAAATCCATCCAGTTCAGCAAAAGTAAAATGTTATATAATTACCTTTAAAGGTCTACAGGAAATCCAGATATCTTACATTTTAGGGAGAAGACATGAAAACCCTGTTTATATATATCAGTTGCGGTGGCATTTTTTGGCCTTGTCTATACATAGGCTTATTTCAAGCCTTGCATTTTGAGACAGACTATCAATAAAAGACTGGTACCCATCAATTGTATTCAATTCACTGCGAGATTGACTGTGGTATATCAGGTCCCACACTCACACAACGGCCTTATACGCGTTTGAGGAACGTTTTGAAAAAGTATACCGTGCGGCTGGAATGACGTTTAGTGCTCCAGCGGCTCGCTTTGGAGGACTCGAACCAGCCAGCCGGCAAGCTCGGTGGTCGAGTGGTAAGACGTCTGCACTAGTAAGCAGGAGGTCGATCCCGTCGTGGGTTCGAGTCCCACCTGAGTAGTTTGTGATATTTTTCCTCACCAGTACTCGAACAACTTGAATATAGATCTGGATGGAGTGACGTCAGTTTTCATCGGTTGCTTTGTGTAACATATTCAGCACTCCAGACTCAAGAACCATTGAGTTTCAAGAACATAGGTCTGGGAGCTAGATGAGCCAATGCAAAATAAAAAATGCCCGGATTTCCGCACCCTGCTATACAGTGTTCATATAAAAAAAAAAAACAAGTGCACAATAAGCTCTGGCCGTGTTGCAAGAAGTCTTGCATGAAAAGTATTGCACAAAATCGATCAAAATTATCCCTGCCAGCGCTGAAAAATACGACGCCGAAAAATGCGAAGCCGATGGCATATATTGAACACCATACTTTTGGTCAATTTTCCGTGGACAGACAGACAGACCGACCGACCACCAAGTGACATGTAGAAACTTCTGCCAGAGCTTAAAAATACGTCGGTGAAGGGCAAAACCAGATATTAAATTTACATCATGAACCCGGACGCGAACCCCATCTTAGAGGCATGAGTATAGCATAGATTTAAAAGTAGTCTTCTTTACTCCATTTATGGTTTATTTATGCACAAATCAAGCATTTGTTGGGGATGGCCCCGTCCCCTCCTCCCCCCCCCCCCCCCCGAAAATCCACCCGTCTATCCCATGAAGCACTTGAACTTCCGATCCAAAATGAATCCAACCGAACTATTTCCACAAAGAAATTTCATAATTCAACAAAATATACGATATATGTCGCGTCTGCATTTCATGAAGAAAATAGATCAACACGTTAAGATGTCCATTTCCATTTTTCTTTATTTTCTCACTTGGCCTTTCACAACAGCTTTATTAAAAATTAAATGCTCTCTGATCAATAAGTTAACAATAAATAGCAGATGATAAATAGAAGAATGATATAAAAGCCTAACTGTACAAGTTTTTTTCATATGCAATATCTGTCTTTGTTCTGCGCTCACGTCCAGTTAAGTTTGTGTTTTGTGAAATGTTCGTCAAAGTGTAAAAAGCGACTCGGCTTTAGAATACACATTCGTAAAAATTGAAATTCCACGAAAAAAAGATTATAAAGACAATGAAAATTGTTTTATAGATAAGTAAACGACAGATTGTACAACTCTGACCATTAATTTGTAAGTGGCCCATTTTTTTTTCCAAAAGTGTTTGATCTCTGCGTGCCCGGACCAAATGTATAGAAATTGGGTTTTCAGTCCCTGCCTGATTCCGTGGGGTTTTCCTCCCACCTCTAAAACTGTAATTTCTTCTCATTGTCTTCTCTCTACAGGTTTCTTCTGGCTTGCGAGCTACGGTGCCTAGGGCGCTTTTTATGAAACCTTGGTTTTATTTTACCTGGAAGAAATAATACAATAAATAAATGCATAACCATTGTATCCTATACTCTTTGGATGTTTTTCCTAACGATTTCACGGATATTGAATAATTCCACTGGAAATTAAATTCGTGTTGAAAATTCAAAATGATTCGGCAGTTATTACTACCATGATAAAACAATATTGAAATAATTGTCTAAGTGTGTAAACACGTGCTTTTGAACCCAAAAAAATCAACATTCGTCATAAAATCATTAAGAAGTTGACGAACAAAGACATATTGCTAGATATTCTGGCCACTCTGTCTGCTGATGAAATAATAAATTGGAATGTCGATTTATTAATAGATATCACCGATGCTTTGTCGTTTGAGTTTAGCAGTATCGATGTACATAATTATTATATACAAATAATTTATTATCGAAATATTTCTCTCTATGTACAAGGAGTCATTGTCTTTGATGACCATTCAATATCAAAATTGGAAAGTAATAATAATAACGATACTTATAAGGCGTTCGTTTCATCTGAAAGCTTTATATTAAAAAAAGAAGTTTGTTTAAGGCATTATTGCTACTTTTGGGAATGATAGTCGTTATTGCTTTTGAAAAAGTATGATTCGTTAGCATAGGTTTTATATAAATAAGTTCAAAGTTTAGCACAAAAATGAAGTTTTGTCGTAGTGTTCTTTCCAGCAGTTTGCAATGCTGACGACCATTAGCTGACAGTGATATCAGTTATGGCATCATGTCAACGGCTCGTCAAGAGGCTATTGAGATGGCTACATTCACAATGCACTGAGATGTGTATTTGGGGCCGGTTTTTTTTTTTTAGATTGTAAAGAGGAACGTGTCGGCGTACTGCGTGGCTGGGGGTGTGTTATCTGGGGTCATGCAGCAAGAGCTGGAGTCACTTGTCATGGAAGTGCTATCGGATAAAGAGCAGTGCCAGTGGTGGCCAGATTGTCCGAACGAAGGCATGGAAAAGTCCGACACGGAAGGGTGGCTTGGCATCAAGGTGGCACCGGTCGGGATGAGAGGGGGTTGGCGGTGGGTGATCGGGGAAGGGTGCTGATGGTAGATTGCATCACAGGATGCAGAGAGGGACGCCTGGCTCTCAGGAGTTGCTGGGGGGGTTGCTGCTGCACCCATCACGGTGGCTCCGGCAGCGGAAGCCGGAGTTGCTTCCCCGGTGGTGTCCACCATCTTCAGCATCTCCGATAGAGCCCAGATGTAGTTGTGGGCGAACCGTAGGGTCTCGATCTTAGTCAGCTTGGTGTCGTCCGGAAACTTGGGCAGCACTTCGCGGAGTCCGTCCAGAGCGTGGTTCAGCATGTGCATCCGGTTGCGCTCCCGGTCGTTGGCCTTCATCCGCCGGTGGCGGCGGATCCTCTGCACGCAGGAAGGGCTACGGTTCCGGCAGCGGGAGCGCGTGTAGCGTTTGCGCTTGGTGCCCGCTCCCGATGCCCCGCCGGTCCCGCTGCCAGCGCCACCGGTCTTCTCCTTGGACTGCCGAGTTGACTGACCCCCTGCTTGCCTCTTCCGATGCCTCTGCCGGGTTCTCTCGGTCTTCACCGGAGTTGGGGCTTCTGGCACGATCGCTCCGTCCATCCCGATGGCTTCGGTTTGGACAGGGAGCCCCCTCTGAGCTGGGAAAAACTCCGAGAGATTGACGGAGCTCATTGTCTGCATGTCCTGGCAAGCAAAACCCCCACTATACAACATGGGAGGACAGAGGTACCCTCAAGCAAAGACCCAGTCAGACAATCGCGGGCGAAAGTATCTGCAACAGACAAGAAGATAAAAGAAACGACATCCAATTTAGCGATAATCACCCCACAACTGACAACTCAACAAAAAAGGAACGTCTTCCAACAAAGATAGCAATTATTTCTCGACAAAACCTTAAAAGGAACAAGACACAACGGTGATTTGTGGTAGGCCACAATCATGAATAAGAAAAAGTAATTTGAGATAATCATGTCTTTTTTTTCTGGCTTGGCGCCAGTGGATAAACTGGCCTTGTTACTTTTTCTAACCAAGTCAACTTTTCATTGTATCCACCGTTCATCTTTCTTTGTGTAATCCGGAACCAACTACATGTAATTATTACTAATTAATGCGCACGCGAGACCCACGCGCGTCGGATAATCACTATTGATCAGCACACCGAGAGTATGGATTAAAATCCTACTATTGATCAGCACGCGTGCCGTGTATTGAAGAAGCGCCTGAAATCGACCAACGGACGTGACCGGCCTGAAAAGGATTGTCCACTAACGAATTGTAATACCGCCCTCTGTTGACGCACCAACGGCGCTCGCCTTGTGCATACACGCGCACGTGTCTAAATTGCGTATTCGAAATACGGTGCAAAGCGCTCGTATATCTTATATGTTGGCCACACACTAGCAAATAAACACGGTCACAAAAACACCTTTGGTTTTACAAACAATAATTTCAACCATCTTTTTTTTCTGTCTAGAAAAAAGTAAAAATTTGTGTTAACCGTGCATCAAGTACCTAGGTGTTTTAACATCAGATAAAATAAATTAATTTCTAAATTACCAGTTATCAATGCAAGAAAGAACGATTTGATGTTTGCCCCATACGGATACAACTGCTGTATCAAATGTTTTTTTTTTTATCGACAACATGCAGTTTGCTTGTAGGAAAATTACCAATACAACTTTTAAAGATCATGCTCTCTGGATGTGCAATTGGAGATTACGAAACTTCGAATTTTTTTTGGAAAATCATCGACCAGATTAGATCTTGTGCTTGAGTGATGCAAATAGAAACGAAACTGGACTAACGAAAATATCGTTACAGATTTCAGACAAAGAAGTGGCGAGAAAACGATACAGAGAACTTCTTAATGACATCGTTGAAACTATAGAATATTTGCTGCAGAAATTTTGCTCGGATGTTAGCGCACAGTCCGGGGCGGATCCAGCTTTGGCTGGGGGTAGTTGTCAGGGGGGGGGGGGGGGAGCCGGCATGTTATATTCCTTCTCTGCATGATGTGACTAATTTTTGCGGCCAAAGGGGGTGGAAGCCCGCCAGTGCTGTCTTATAGAAGTTGTCTCTTTTTCCGATAAATTCCGAGTCAGGAATGCGTTACTTCCAATTAGTCTTCGGTTTCATAAAGACACAAGATGAAAGATATTTTGGAGGGATGTATAAGTAACAAGAGTCACATGGGAGGGGATGTGAGTTGGATAAAATGAGACATTTGATATCAGATCTCCAGGCAAAATTGTAATTTTGTTGGTCTATAGTTTTGAAATATTCGGCGAATATCGTCAGGGAAACAGCCACATTTGGGTGCAAACACGCCAGTTCCTTAACCTGTCTCCGACTGAACAACCGCGTATCTGTAACCGCAATCGCTCCCCGAAGCTGTTCGGGGCTTAACCTCGAACAGTCTACACAAGTTTGATTACTGATTCCAATTGATGATGACGATTCCGGCACTTACCCCTCAGGTAATACAAAAATAAAAATTAAAAAAAAACAGGAACCCTACGGGAAAATGGGTGACTCTGAATTGTCGAATGATTACTGAAATGTCAATGTTATTTTTACTGGAGAATAAATTTCTGGATTGTTTTTTTAAAGTGAAATCATTTATGGTGAGGTATTCATTATTTGTCTTTTGCGAAATGTCACAAAAAGATTTGAAGAGAAAACAAATGGTAAATTTCGTTTTGCTCAAATACGATGAACAAAAAAATGGATGTTGAACTCTACTGAGTTCTAAAAAATAATTTGAGTGAAGAAACTGTTCAAGACTGTTCAGGAGATAGCCGAGTCTACTCAATCGCACAAAATTCTGAGTCCCAGAATACACTTGTTACATATCTGTGCAAACAGTAAAAGACAATTTGAGGGAAACGCCGTCTTTATATTTTTCAAAGAAATAAATCTTACCTGCTGGATTGAAAATAGGTCCAAGATGTTTCAGATGTTTAATTTCCTCTTCAGAGCTGGCCGTGAGCAACGAGATCACTGAAAAAGACGAGTGCTTTGAATTGTCCACTGGATGTACTCAATTACCGGACCGGATCTCCCAGACGCTGATGACCGGTCGCCTCTTGAGGACAAGTCTTGGGGAGGCAGTGAGCTGAGCAGTCGCTTTTATAGCCTGCTCCCGAAACAATGTACCCTTGCCTGGGACTATTCTAGTGAGTTGTTCTCCTTTGCCACGTGACACACGTCACGGGGTCGGTGACAGGGCTGTTCGGCCCGCCATCGATTGCGGATCAAGGCAGCAAAAGAGAGACCATCTCATCGAGCTCCGTCTTTGGCCCACACGATCGACCAAGATCAGTGGTTGGACGAGACGCGGGCCATCACTCCGATACTCCACCCTCTTTGCGCCAATCAGCGGCCGTGCTTTTGTCAGTGTGTACGGCCGATCTGCGCCTTGCCTGGCCTGGCACGTATGGTTGGAGATTTCACGAGAGAGTGAGCGACGAAGCCGTGATTACGCATGGTATGTCCACCGGCCACCACACAACCACCGCGCGCCAAAAAAAAAAAAAAGAGAGAGAAAAAGCACAAGCAAAACCAGAGGGAATGAAGCTGACATTTCGTTCCGCCGCGGTGCGGACTCGTAAATTAACCAGACAGATAAGCACGAGTGGAGTTCTAAAATGGCACCAGTCGTGATTTTGTATAATTCCCTTTTCACAGTCTGTTAAATCTGTGTCTTAATGCACGGGCTGACATCCCGTCCGAGGATTCGCTGCGATGCGCGATGGCAAGACACACGGGTTAAGACAGCGGTTTCCAAATGGCAGCGCAGCACGTTCGAGCACGGCGGCAGCCAGCTCCCAAGCCCGACGGCCCAGGCACCGCTGCATTAACGAACCTCATGCAATGCATAGATATTTTCCATTGTTCCATACACGCCTGCTATTGTTTCCCAGGCTACCATACCCTTATCCTGGATCGGCTACGAGGCCACATATCTCAGCAACTTCCTTCCTTGAGTGCTGGCCGCCAGGAACACGAGTGGTAAGAGATGGTAGAAAAGTTGCCAGCGTTCGCGATCGTTGTCGTGTTTTCCGTGTATGTAGCGTTGTCTGTGTTGACGCTGCTCACACAAAACCCCCGTTCGGAGGCTTTTTATTTATCAAGTGCGCATGCGCCAAAACTTTTTGTAGCGCCCCTTTTGAAACTTTTCAAAAGTTTGGGCTGGCGCGTTCGGGGCCGTTTCGCGCTGTTTCTGCGGCCGTAAAATTTGATTTTCGGCGGCGCTGGGTGCTTGGACAGCTCGCAGGGCTCTGATTTTCCCACGTGGGGGCTGATTGTGCAACGAATCCGGCATAAGGCCGAAAAATCCCGACCACACACTCTAGACACAAAGCGGGCTGGCTGGGCCTACAATGCTCCACCTGGGCCGTGCCATTTACTAGAACAGTTCTAAACACCTCCTATTCAAGCCGATTAAATTCTATACTTAATTAGTGGTACTTTGCCAGCATTAATCATTCACTTCATGGCTGGGCCCGCCGTTGGAAGGTTTCACCTGCCCAGGCCATATTGTTGCGTATTGTTACTGGGCCGCGTGTCCCAAACGGGACAAGCCGGTCGCCGTGATAAATTTCAACTATGTGGCTTGCTTGCAACCTCGTTCGGTTGTTTACCATGGGAGGCGAACCAGGCATTGATAAAAATCGACTGCTGTTCCTTTTTAACAGCGTCCACGTGTCGCGTAGTTCGTGCGCGTATTTGTTGTCCTCTCGACAAGCGACCAGGACCTTTCCCCGTTTACTTTAGCATCTCGCACTCTCCGTGTTAGGGGGGCACCCAACACTCGGGCTATTTGTCTGCACCACTTTCTCCCTCCATCTGGCCCGGTTTGCGCACAAGTTGCCCCATTGTGCTCTGCAATTCTCGGCCCCCAACGAAAAACAAAGGACGGAAGAAGATTGCCGGGTTATTTTTTTTCTCTCTCTCTCTGCCTCGCCAAAAAAAAAAAAGCGTGTTGCCCACATTGTCTATCCGGATAATATAGGCCCTGGTGAGTACAATACTCACGTTGCGCGCCCCTCACTTACTTTGTTACTGGAGGGGTCCGTCAAAGTGCCTTTGCGTCTGTATACCATATGCCAAGCCTTACCCGTCCGGCCTGGCCCGCTTGATGGTTATCATTCACCGGTGCTTCAACCGTGCCTCGGAAAAAAATAAGCCCGGTGATTGTTCGACGGCGCGCGTCTCGGAGAACCGGCGCTGTCGTGTTTTTTTTTTATTTTTATTTTTTTTATTTTATTGCATTTTGCAAGCAGGAAAGACCCCATCACGGAGCCTAGGCCCACGAGTGCCGGCTCGGGATTCATTTACATCGAGATGCATTCATGGTTTTTGTAATCACCAAGTAAACTGCGAGCAGCTATTTACCCGCTTCAAAAGAATTAATACAAGGTGGCCTCATTCACACTCAGCTACCAGATATTACCATGCTGGACGAGGGTCTAAGGCTGCTGCCTGCGCCCCGCTCTCTCTTCCCCCTCACTCTCCGGAGCCAGTCAGCGGCACAGGCTCTAATTAAAACTCACTCGCTGGGCGCAGGAGACGGGCAAGGGAGACGGCAAACGGGCGAGCGCACGTCGGAACCGACCACGCAAAAAATCCTCACTTACTGCCAGTCCCAAGCGTCTTATAGGAGCGTGGCACACGGTTAGCGGCCCGCCAATATTACATTTCCGATGTTATATTTCTCTGTGTGTTCACTTCTCTCTTTTCCCCCGTCTCTCATTTTTTCTCCGTCGCTTTTGCCTCGCCTGTCTGCGGACGGCACACTCGCCCAACAGACGCCACAAAGACAGGCATTTTCAACTCATGTGAACCGCCTTACAGTCCGTCATAGCTTCAGGGTATGTGCTGTCCGCCCGAAACGCTATATGAACTTTCCATGTGCGTAGAAACCTGGATGTATAATTCGAAATTTTACCCACGTAAAACGAAATCACTTAGTGCGAAATGTTCTCACAATTCGTCTCGCGCGCTGGCGCCTCCGTGTCGAATGAACCGTCCGCTAATGCCGGCAATCTCCTGGTCGTGTGCTGATGAACCATCCACAACAAAGGATAATTAATATGCAAATGAGGCCGTTCATTAACGGTACACTGTGATTTCTCTCAAAAGGGCTAGATTTATCTTTGCCAAATAAAGCTTCATCTGATTTTTGGGGCGTGTAAATGATTTTCTGGGGAAATAAAAGCGAATCGCAGTGAGCTCATCCGTGTGCCCAAAAGGCCGGCACAATGCTGGCTATTATATAACATACGTCATTGTGTCATCACAGAGACAAACATGGGGTCATGACCCCTAGGCTAAGCCTGATGAGCATCCATGAGACATGCAACGTGGGAGTGCATTGGGCTAGCTCCACGGAACACGCATGTGAAATTTATCAAATTCCGCTCCGAGTCTGCAGCTTTTAAAATGACTCGATAATAAGTCAAACGGGCCGACAGGCGTGGTCCTTCTTGGCTGTTTGTCGGTGTGTAGTACTGGGGTCAAATGATGAGGGTGTGACCTTTGACCTTTACAGTCACCTGGTGACCTGCAGGTAAGCATGAAGCTAACAGTGGGCGACTCAACTGTAGGAAGAACGAACAAGTTTGACTCTTCGCAACTCTGTAAAATGACGAGCAAAAATGCTCATTTCTGTGCCCAAATGGCCGGCAGAGTGTCGACTTTCGCATGCAGATCGTCATAGCCTCAGGTTGAGGTCAATACTTAGGGTCATGACCTGTGACCTGGATGTATTAAGGTCGGGAGTTGTCACCAAGCTGTACAACTCTAAAAGTCTGAGAAAATGCCCACTCGTTGGTTGCAAAAAAATGAATTCGTTTGTCGGAGCTATCTAAAAATTCGTTAATTTTTTTCACATCGTATACTAATGGTATTTGTCGTTATGTTTCAATTGGAGAGCCCAATTAAACAGTAAAGACAAAGACAATGAGAGGTCAATCAATTACACCCCTGTATAATACCCATGTTTGCTTCATAAACCAGGCTACAGCTGAGTAGAAATTTAGTCTCATCGGTCTCGAAGTTGTTGTAAAATTTTACAGTTTTCAACCGTCAAATGTTCCTTCGTCCATGGAATCCAATGTACTGCAGTTTAACTGGCAGACATGGTAATCCAAAATGGCGGGAAAGGATGGTGTTCAATGACCTTTGACCTTGTCTAGGTCTGATCCGGCGTACAGAGATGTGCCGGTGACACGGGAGCCAACGAAACCGAATTTTGCCAGCGCGCTCTTTTTGTCGTGGTCGCATGACGAAAGAAAAAAATGACTTCAAGACGCGCTGGTAGGCTGATCGAGACTTTTTTAAGGATCTCGTGTATCCCATGATGCAATCGGTCACGTGTCCCACCCATCCCCAGCGACTGATGTGACCTGGTGAGCCCTTTCCCCCTGGCTGTTGTCCAGTGGAATCGAGTCCGTCTCGCCGTCTTGACCGTCGGTCTTGCCTTCTGGGCAGAACGGTCGAATGACGAAAGGGTCTTCCGGCTGCGAGTGGGGCTTTTGGCAGGCGAGCGGGTACCGTCCGTGGGCAGGTGTCTGGGGCTATTGTCGGGGGTGCCGCTCTGAAGGGGAACTGAACCCCTTACCCTCAAGCATCCACCTCTCCGTCGCATCAAATATCTCTGCCACTTAAGTCCAAGTAATCTATCCATGTATTTTTATCCTTCCATTATTTATATTTTGTTGGTGGGCAACACGGGGGGATTTCTCTTCCCGAAAGCAAGCCCACATGCGACCGCTTACAAAGCAACCTAATAGATTATATCAATCAAACTCTATTCATAAACCAAGTATGCGTGTCTGTGTAATGAGTTTTTTATCAGGGCAGCCACAAGATGGATGAATTGCCTAACCTTACGAAACTCCTTTTCCATTAAAAATTCGTTCATACGCGAAAAAAAATCAATTTAAAAAAACGAACACTTCATAGAGCGGCAATATACCAAAAAAAGCAATACAATACAATGTCAGAGACACACGTCGCCAATAATGGGTATGTTCGTGTAAAGGCTCTTAACAAACGCGTCTACAAAGGACACTAGTGATATCGGATACCAACTTTCATGGAATCGTACTTTTTGATATTTTTTATCAGCTACGTAAACGAAACAAAAATTAAATGGTTGCAGTTTGAAGCAAGCCGATGATTAACGCATTATGACATTGACGACTGACTCACAATCTGTTCCGAGTTCGTGAGCTTGACACCAACCGATCTATCCGTTAACCCGTACCCTACAAACCCCCGCCCAAACCCCAGCATTGACCGCCACCACCTGTCGATCAGAGCTAGAGAAGAATTAATGTAGATGAAGGGGGGGAGAAATAGCTGGGTATCTTGGGTGAAAAGTCACGTTTTCTCTTTTACTCGCGCCCTTGGAGGCTTCCCCTGTTTCTGCTTCAGTGTCAGAACGCGTCGCTGCGACTCATGCTTCGAGTCTTAAGTCACCAGTGGAACCACACGCGGCAACAGCATCCACCATTGTTGCCCCAAAACTGCGCAGGCTTTCTGAATTGAACAAAATATACTTCCATTTCTCTTCCAATTTTCAGTTCTGTTCTCTCCTAACAAAAAAAAATCTCAGATAATCAAACATTTGAACGGTATCGTTTGATTCGCAGCCTTCGTACAGACGGAATGGACAAAATATGGACGTAGAGTTAGAAAATGAATGAATGGGTGTGCTTTATAGTGAATGGAAATCATTTATTAAGAGAGCGCTTAACTCATTTACCCACAGAGCATCCGTCATGCAACTGCAATTAGCTGGCGATTTGCCGACCGCGAGTCATTTTTTGAAGTCCCGACGACCACCGACAAGGAACAGGCCGGGGTTGCGCCGGCGAGCGCAGCACGGTATGCCGCGGAGCCCGGCAGCCTTAAATCGGGGGTAGCGGCCCGGAAGAAGAGAAAACATAATGAATGCGATTGTCCGTCCTCGTTGGCTCGTCGCAAATGTGGGGGAGGGGGAACAATGACCGGGCGAGACCCGGCTAATGCATCACACTTCAGACAGTGTCGAAGCAAGTCCAATGCTGCTAATTAAATTGATTTCATCCTCACCGCTTCCCCGTCAGCCCCTTTTTCTCTCTCTCCTGATGCAATGATTCAATGCCGCAACGGTCTCGTACTATGACTTACGACAGAGTCATGCCCCAAACAACCCATAAACGTGCAATCTTTGTCTATTCGGTGATAAAATTAAGACTTTCTCGAGCAATAAGTTCGAGGGGGGAAAAAGTCAACCGCCTAGGAGTTCCCACTTATCTGAGATCGCCACTTGAAGCCTTCTCTGGGATTTGTCGTGCTTGAAGTACCATGAATGGGAAATTAGGGTTTTGTGATTGCTTGCCCAACACAGAGGGAAAAAAATGTCACCCGCAACTCCAAGGCAAAACGAGTGTGTCCTCCCCCCTCCCCCCCTTGGGTTAGGGGAAGTATCGTTAGCGGGTATTAGCTGGAGG